TTATAAAAAAATCTACAATGTTTTTTTCTAAGATATATAGTTCTTCATAAAGATAAAGCCACCTTTATTTTTGACATTAAAGGATGACACCTGTTTACATTACAAGTAGTATATGGTATACCATATACTACTTGTAATTGTAAAGCAACATACATATTAATGGACTGTGTAAAAGATGATACGGCCAGAATGGGAGTGAATGCAAAAATGACTGCAAAAAGAAGAGAATGAAATAATAAACCCTTAGAGTAAAACATATTACGCTGACCCCAAATAACAATTGTGATAAGCATAGGAAGATAACGATGATACAATGAAAACATTTAAAATCTCCTTCTTTTTAAGTCACTTAACGAGTGTTTAAGTTATTTTAATTTATAAAATCCAGGCGGACAATGTTCACCAATGCAAGCTAGAAATATATCCACCATTAATTATAAACAGATATGGTGTTATATTTCTTATGGTACTATTGCCTCTCAATAGGTTGTAAGTTTTAAATATATGTAAGGCTCAAGCATTGCGAATGGGAATTCGAACAGGTTTGCCGATAATATCAGGGTTGTTAAATTTGATTGTTAAAAATTATATATATATATATATAGTCTCTAAATATAATAATAATATTTCTACTGTGCTATAAGTTTTAATATAAAATTACTATCAATATAAAATTATTTTACACATACATCTATTTACAACTTGAAAAATAAACTTTACTAGCTGCGGTATAAATAATCAACTAATTTGTATTAAACCAAAAGTTATTTGGTAAGGAGTAACAAATTTTTTATAAAATTCAGCCAGTTATGTACTATCGCAGAATAAAAATATATAAAAAGATTATTATTTTCTAATTAATTATCTTTATTATTCACAAATACAAATATATTTTAGATTAATAAAAATTTTAAACTATACAAGCAGTATAAAAACCAATCTTTATTATGAAGGTGCATAATAAAAATGAATTTTAAAAAGCATTAAGACAACCCTGTTTGCAATAATGTTTCTTGCGTAGTTGACGATATGCAATAATATTTATAATAGTCTTGAAGTAAGAATACCATAAGTTAAAAAATACAAAACTTTACTCGATTATATTTTCCATCGCATCAATAAAATAGTACATGAGAAGCATATCTACTTGAAACAGTCTCTATAAATATAAAGCTTAGACGAAAGTAATTTAATTTTGCCTTTTTTATTATATTTATTTATTTCTTATTTATTTAATTTCTATATAAAAACAAATACCATTTTTGAACAATTTTGAAACTCGTTCAACTCTATTATCTACACCTATCTGTTAATAAAACTCACCAAAGGGTAGTTAGATACATTTTAAAAGTACGTAGTTTTGGTTAACTTATTCATATCCTTATTTAAATGAAAAATTTTGTTCACGACAATAATCGACAAGTGATTACACATTAACAGAGTTCGTAAACTCAAACTTTGATTGCAATTTATAGTATCACCCTTTCCGTGTTACTCGTTAAATTTATTATTGCCAGTGACTTTAATATTGATTGGTAAATATCAAAGTAAATATAGTCAACATGAGGATGCATACATAATTATTAAATTAACATACATACTGATTTTGAACTTTTAAGATGTTAATCCAGTTTTGACGTTAATCTTTTGAGCGTTGCAAAAATCTAGATATATTCATTATTTTTATATGCACTCAGTCCCTATTATGTTTTATGTGAATATAGTATGTTTCATATGAATTTGATAGTCATGTAATAAATAATTAAATAAAGACATTCACATTATTTTAAGAATTAATCATGCGTGTTCTCCTGTATTATGTCATTAATTGATATAAAAACAAATATGTTTATTAGTACGATGTTTAATAATACTATTAGTTCTATTAGACATCAGATTGGTACGTCATAAATGACTTAGAAATTTCAATAAAGCGGTTTTTTTTTTATTAGTTAATAAATAATCGCTTATCATCATGCGCAATGTATTAAGTATATATACATTGCGCATGATGATAAGCCGGCGTCGGCGTAAATATAAGAAAAGAGAACCGGATCCTTATTATAAGTTACAGATTACAGTAAATTAAGCGACGCATATCAGAATGTTCATTAAGAAAAAAATTAAGTACTTAAATTTCGTTATTTCTAGAATTTAATATATTTTTACATTTCGTCTGCTCCTGCTGGATATTGTAGAGCTCCGACTATCTCTTACTAGCATCTTTATAATAATATTAGCAAACCCTCTATTATTTTGAACATTACTACCACCTACTGGGTTTATTTTTTCTTATCGGAATACACATTATATTATTATAAGTTGAGTGATTTCGGATAATAATAAAAAATAATATATATAATATAATATATACTTATATATAATAAAATATTGGCATGAAATTGTAAATCAACGTACTTTTTATTTTGATATTTGTATCGGTTAAAAACAAAATAATAATGTAACGACAAATCCTATAAGATGCTTAAGTCACCCAACTCAGAAAAATCCAAAAAGACCATCAAAATATACAAGTATATACTCGTATAGGTTCAAGCACGTACCTGCGTAGGATTATATGTAAGTAATTCAAATCTTGATTTCTCATCTTATTTCGTTTTGCCAGATGACTATAAAACAATTAACTAATATCATAGATTATTAAATTTGATGTCTATTCTTAGACTTGGGTGTGTTATAAAAATTCCATGTATAAGTTTTAATCCCCGCAATTAAGTTTTTAAATAAACGATATACTCGTATTTACAAACAACCACATACAGTTACGATTATTTAAGATCTGGATTTCCGCTTTATTTTCTTTAAAACATTTTATCGTTTGAAATGAGATTTTTTTTTATACCACGATGATAAATAAATTCATAATTTACTTTTATATTACTGGAAATAACAAACAAGGTAGCAGCACACCATTTCCTATAAAGGCTAATGCCTAACATATCTTACAGAATATACCGTAGTGAACCAATACATGAAGGATACCATGGTACCCAAGGTATCCTTCATACTATATACACTAACTACTTAGAGTGACTATTACTGATTTTACGTACACATTTTACCCCCATAGCAATCGGTAACACTGTAGAACCTATACCTAACTCTGCCAATAGTTTTAAAGACTAAACATGGAAATTAATTAAGAACTGATACCTAATAACACGAATAGCCAATATTTTTAAGGTATTTTTTATTACTTAGCACGAAAGAAAAATAATAATTCTATCTGCAATACGAAGACATTAGAAGATGAATATATTATATAATATAAAAACGTACACTCCATGTTTTTCTTATCTATAGGTATGTTTAATAAAAATTAAAAATCTATTATCTTCTACAGTCTTCGTATTGTAAGATTCATTCGAAATAAACACATATATATTTCGAATGAATGTTTCAAAGTATACTTTGTATTATTGGTTGCTTAGCTAATTTATAAGTAGTTTTTGTATATTTTTTATTATAATACTTTACTAAAAAAAATATATTTAATGATTGATGATACCGTGCCTATAGTTGTTATATTTGATATTACCTTGATACTTAAATGTAGAAGATACACGTTAATTTAACCGCTACGCTACAATTAGCGTATAAATTATTACGTTCATTGAGACAAATGCAAAAAATATTTAATAGCTCCAAACACATAGTTAGACTTAAATAAAAAATAAAATGAAGGCTATCATTCAGCGCATCAATATTATCCAACCCAATGGAGTATAATTTATCCTAATTTACCATACAGTAGCTTACATGCCAGTGAAAAAGCCCAGCAAAATTCACATAAAAATAACTATAGATATAAATATATAATGATATTTAAATAATTATTTTAAACTCATAGCCCTCCTCTTCGTACAGTTTTTTTAATAAAATATAATGTTTGATTCTCGCTGATAATGTAACTTTTTCCGGCGAAAGAATATTTAAAATCGCTTAAATAGTTTTTAAAACTATCCATTAAAAACAAACATACAAAATAAAAAAACACCGTTTTTATAATCAAAATTTTATAATCTAAACTATTTTCTTTATAATCTTAAATAGTTCAAATAATTCAAATTTAGAAAACTGAATAATTTACATCATCACATTAGTGCCAAGCAGCAAGCACATAATATAGGTCATGACTCAATTGAATAAAATAAGATTCTATTCACAATTTAAATTGAAAACCTGGTTACTAAAAACAATATTTTAACTCCTACTTTATTAAAGGTGGCATAATTTATTTATGTTCATGTATTAACTAAATGTTTATAAATGTCTAGATTACATAATTATCTAATGGCATGAAAACACAACTTGTAAATCATGAAAAATTATGAATTACAAGTTCATCAACATCATTTTTAAGTACTTCTGTACTTCGAAAAATGAGTTCGTTCAATTTTAATGTATGTGGGTGGTAGTATTTTGGGAAGTTGGAATAATAATTGAAATCCTTTCCTCACGTTTGAATAAATGAATACTGATCATGAAACAGTTTTTATTTTTTTATTTCATTTATGATTGTAATTTAAGTGTTCGAAAATTGCATGTGAAACTTAAATATAAATTTCTTATATGTATATGTTATCATAAATTTATATGTTTCATTACCACTTTAATCGTTATGTTATTAACATTAAGTATAACTTATATATGTAGGTTTAAAAATATTTTTTTAATAACTAAGCCTAAGAAATACAGATACTTAAATTTTATTAAATCAAAAGACACAGGTACCTATTTTCTATAATTTTATCGTATGTAATATATAAATAAAATTATTAATAAAATTTTTATATATTTATTTTAATATTAGCTAAGTAGGTACGTAAGGCATTATGTTTAACTTGTTACTTTAAATTTTATATGCGTAAAAAACATGATTTCAGACTATAAGTAATAAACCCACAATAAGTAATATATTTTATTTATATTTTCATTTAAAAATATAAAACGTAAAATTGACGTTATACTTCACTTACCTACAATAATGAAAAATAAATCAAAATTTCCAGATCACTTCCACTTTTTTTTTTATTCAAATTAATATTCCAAATACAGATTAAGTAATTTTAGGACCAATCTATGGAAGCAAAGTTCCTCGCGGTCGCGCTCGTTCGAAAATGGCGGGAGATTTTTCGCATAGGGGCTGCGATGCGTATGTCCTTGCGAGGTGGACAAGGTCTCAGCGTGCTTACTTATGGACGCGCAACGCGACTCCTTCGCCTCTTATAGCCTCTTGTGAGTAGAAACATTTTCGCTGTAACGGATTCAATACAGTATTTATCGTCCTGATTGCAGGATATTTCTGAGAGAGTATTCTATAATCTTTGAATTTTATAACTTTTTTAATTTTTCATTCGCTTGATAACATGATGATTTTCAAATAACATATATAGATATTAAGTACTAATTTAATTCCATGTGCACGTGATGCATATTGTCAACGAAACCTAATTATTATAATATTATAAAATTAAATAAACTATGTCCCTATACCCAGAAAATAGTAAAAACTTTTATATAAAGAGTTCCAATTATAAGCTCAATCTATAAGAAAATTATAACACAACTCGTTTACTTATCACATTGTTAATATTAAAGATATTACAACTATTGCATGTATTTTCTCATCGGATAAGCATTTTTTTTTAAGTTCGTCATTTATGTTCCCCCAAATGCCGCCCCCTTAATATTAATTTAAATTTAAATTAAGTTTTAACAGTAAACTGTTGACAAATAATATTAAAAAAGATACTTATTAATTTTTTCGCATTTGAAATAAATAACGGTGTTCGGTCACCGTTTTAATGGAATTATTCTCAAAATGACAACAAGAGAGGTGATGGGCAGGGGCTTTTATAAATAAGTATATTCAAAAGCAACATTTAATGTATATTAACATGGACGAAAGTAAGATTTTCGTGCCAAACGAGCTATCAAGCAATTGAAAATCACATCGTTATGAAAAAATAGACATTTTTTATCAACAAGTCTGGCCTGATGGATATATATATATATATATATATATATATATATATATATATATATATATATATATATATATATATATATATATATATATATATATATATATGTGTGTGTGTATATATGAATATACGAAAACAGATGTCTATCCACTCTTTGCTTTGGGATTTTACAGTTCTGAGATCGGCAAAAATTTCACGAAGCCATTCTTGCCGAGTTTTACGAGAGAAACTTTAGATTTTTCCTCGACGCGCTGCTCTTCAACGGAAGCGGTTATGTTTGTGGGGGTTTTTCGTTAAGAAGGGTAACTTCACAGATGGCGTGACAAGCCAGTTCGCACCGCACGACGGTCAGACCAGAACTGAAGCATTGTTAGGGACATAAGGAAGGGGTCCATGCGCTTACCTGGCCTCCCCACTCCTCTTTCTCGCATTCCAGAACACTTTTATTACGAACTTTCCGGACAGACCTCGTATATAGGTATTAATAACTAATTTAATTCAATGTGCACGTGATGCATATTATCAACGAAACCTAATTATTATATATATTATAAAATTACCTATATATATATATATATATATATATATATATATATATATATATAGATATATATATATATACCCAGAACATAGTAGAAACTTTTATTATTTTATTATATATTATATTATAAGCTCAATCTATAAGAAAATTATAACACAACTCGTTTACTTATCACATTGTTTATATTAAAGATTTTACAACTATTGCATGTATTTTATCGGATAAGCATTTTTATTAAGTTCGTACAACACCTTAAGTATTTTCTTAGGTCTCACATCTGCCCTCTTAATATTAAATTAAATGTTAACAGTAAACTGTTGGCAAATAATAATAAAAAAGATATTTATTAATTTTTTCGCATTTGAAATAAATAACTGTCTCCCACGGTCTCCGTTTTAGCGCGCAATTATTCTCATGATGACAAAGTTTGAGTTGATACTCTGCGTTGCTTTTATAAATAAGTATATTCAAAAGCAACATTTAATGTATATTAACATGTAATAAAGGTAAGATTTAGAGGAATAAACTACTATCAAGCAATTGAAAATCACGACTCCTTATGAAAAATAGCACAATGGAAAATACTTGAACAGCACCATAAATAAATATATATATATATATATATATATATATATTAAAAGCAAGTAAACACAAATTCAAACTATTATTACCTGTAATATTTTAGAACCAATTTAATTGTAACCTTCTTTTCTCATATTATCAAAAAACAGAGACACATTTACATTTACTTATTTTTTTTTTAAATAATAAGTAAATGTAAAATATATGTAACATTTCATTTCTCTGGTTTTTGATAATACGAGAAAAAACAGGTTTCAATTAAATTGGTTCTAAAATATTATATTATTACCATAATAGTTTGATTATATATACACACACATATATATATATATATATATATATATATATATATATATATATATATATATATATATATATATATATATATATATTTACTCATTCTTTCCAATAAAAATAAAAAAAACTGTAGAGCATTTAATTAAAAACCAGTCAAGTGTGTGTTGTAATAGTCGGCAGAAGAGATTGTGTGGTAATTAGCATGCCAGTTAACATTTGTGGAACGTTTTTTAATTAGTATATCCAATAGAAATAAATGTCTCTCATGTTAACATACTTAAGCTTTTAATATGATAGCTGATAATAAAAACGATTCTATACTTCATTTAATATTAAAAATAATAACTACTAATAAAATGGCTTTGTGATTTAATTTATGTTTTAAATAATGTAATAAATATAATTAACTCATGCCATATTGCAAAGAATCTCAGGCAAAAAATATATTTTTTTGCATTCAAGAAAGTAATATTTATGACATAATTTGTAAAAATATAATATAAATCTTGTACGAAAAAAAGATGTGATGAATAGAAAATTAAGTATATAACAGAGTGAGCTGAGTTAATTAATATCTTTATCCACAGGTTTGAGTTCGATTCTAACCGATAATAGAAAATTCGTTTCACATTAAAAAAAAAACAAAACTGCTAATTACTTGGATGGGTTGTAAATAAGTGTAAAATCACTATGTAATAAACTATTATTTATCTAGCCGTTTCCTATATGAATCAAATACAATATATCCCATGTATTATACCAGTATATCAAATTTGATTCGAATTTAGTAGTCTGAATGTAATTGAGTAACAAACATACAAACATCTAGTCGTATTGGAAACATTATATCCCATAAAAAAGGGCGTAAATTATGTATACTTGCATTTCTAATAAATGTAATACAAGCATATTTCTTCAGAATTTCAATATAGGTAATGTATTTTTTTTTTATGTTTGTTAAAGGTTTAGAAACAGATTTGATGGAACTTTGATACAAATCTATTTTGAGCCAAATTAAATAAAAAAGTATAAAAAAAATACAAAAACAAGATGTGGATAATTTTACCATCGCAAATATATTCTGTCACACCGTAAGATAAAGATACACTCAAATAAAAATAAGTTGTATTAATTCGGCTTTAACTTGACACGAACTTCACGAAAAGATTTAACGTTTATCGAAAGAACCGTTAAGTACCGAACCGATATTTTGGTTCCCAAAATGCATTTGTTATAAAAAAAAAGTGACATTATTTCCCTTAATTGTGGGTGATTTGTTATTCATACACGACTCTTGTGTTATCTTGTATCAAATGTTTATCATTTTTATATCCCCCGGGAGTGGCCTAACTGTTTAAAGATATATATACTAACTGTCGAATTCGTATATTATTTGTGAGTCGTATATCTACCGACAAGCCCTTTCTTGGCATCTTGAAACATAAACTACGTCTTTTTACTTTAAAATTTATAAAATTTAAATTTTTTTTTTTTTTTATTTGTATTAAAGCACAATCAATAGTTGTTCTAAAAAATAATTTTAATTCACTTAGTACCTATTGCTGTCTTTTTTTATGCAACCTAGAAACTGATAAGAAGCGGTAACCGTCTCCTATAGACATGAACAGTACCATGGACATAACAGAGGATAGGTACTGTTTCACCCATGATACCCTTCATGCGTTGCCATTCTTGAGGAGTAAGGTTTTATGTCTCTGTACCCTGTAAAATCATTGCCATATCCCACCCTTCAAACCGAAACACAGCCCCACAAACATAACCGCTTTACGATACAAACACGAATGGGACAGAGGAAAAATACTAAAGAATTGCGCTTAATAAAGTAAAAGTCGCAATAATTTGAACTTCATTTAAAGGTTTTTTAGGAACTTCTTTTTGCTTTCCACTTACTCGAACCTGCAATATCCCCAGCTATCCAAGCTCTTAAATTAAGTATATTCTATTCTGCATCTAACAATCAAATGGTGCATAAGTAGGTATAGAGCACACAAGTAATTTTTGCAGACAGATCAGTGTTAAGTCTGCATGTACTAGATACATCATTATTTATCTGCATTCCAAACTTTTGTTCGCTAACAATTTAAGAATATAACTAAAAAGAAACTTTGTGAGAGATCCATCGATTTTTTCTTTTTTAAAATAAATGTCAGTAGTCCAAAGAATAGTCATCGTTTACATTAAAAGTGAATATCGTGACTTATTTAGGTAACAATTCGTCAAAAGTCAAAAACACATTGTTTGTGTTTCCGTGTCGCGAATGTGTTGCACATAGTAAGCAAGTCAGCAACCTTGACTTAGTGTAATAAATACCTAACATTCGATTTAGAGGTGAATGATCTGAATTTAATTACATTTCGTTGATTTTGTTTAACATTATCATCTTACCAATGCGCTGGCTTGGTACAGTATTATATTAAACTCTTGTAATATTCCTTGCTAATGTTAATAATTCGCGAAGTGAGTTTGATTGTTAATTTGTTTGTTGGGTCTCGGCGCCTTAAGCCGTGGTTAACTGCTCAACCAATTCTCGTAAAATTTTGCATACCTGACAAATATAGACTTTTATCCCCAACACACATAACCCGATTACGCGGCCGAAATCGCAATTATAACCTGGTTTTATTACATTAATTCATAACTGACATAATATTAAAAAAATTAATAATACAAATACACTGTATATTAAATCTTTTGATGTATTCTGTATAAATTATCTACAATAAAGATTTTGCAATACAAATACAATACACTGCATATTAGTGCAAATAGTTTCAAGAACTTCTAATTTATAACCTTTTAATTCCATAAGCGCTGTTAGGTAAGTTTTACTGCACTTACAAGATAAAATACAACATAGATACCGATATTGTCCACTAAGCTATTTTATAGTTGGCAATTTTATAGGAACCTCTCCTGCATTGTGGAGCGTGACCTTCTGATACAGGTGATAACACTTACTAGAAGTTCACAACAACGATCTTAGTATTGTATCAATTTTGTTACGAAATAAATATTTTTTCATTTTCATTTCATTGTAGCTCTAAGCTGGCGGAGATCCCTAGGGGAATGATTGATGATATGAACTTCACCTCATCTAGTCAACCAGCCAGTCGACCTATAGGGGTAGTTTGGATATTATCCTAAAGGCATATTGCTAGCAATGAGATCTCTAACCCCCATTACAAACAATTCCCCCTCCCCTTAAATAATTTGAAATAAAACTTGAAGACGCCTATGTTTCCGTGTTATTTAGTATCAAATATGTCACAGTAAATGAAAGGGGAGACTTATGTTCAGCAGAGGACAGTGATGATGAAGATGGCGTCAACATATTTATTTTCATTCTAAGTTGCATAAAAAATATCAGTAATTTACTAATGGAGTCATTATGACTAAGGTGAAGAGATCCGTCATGAAGCTTTTACATTTCGATTATTCACGTTTCCGTGCAAATGGTCGTTTATGGCTTGTCAAACTGATGACCGATGTGTGTCTGTCTCACGACTCTTCATTCCGTTATCCTGGACTACCTATACCTACTGCAGATGACTTAATTTATACGTAGAAATTAAAACGTAGATATTGTACATCTTTATAGCTATGTCTAATTATGATTAATTAATAATTAAGTTATTTAGCTGTATTTAGTCATATGGTATATAGTTGTCTACTTAAAAATCTATAAACGTTTCATAAATATATTATATATAAGTAGTAAAATCAAAATCATTTAAGATTATATCCCACAAAAGAACCGACTTTAATTATAGCAAATTAATTTGTTTGTTTTAAAAACTAAACTTCGGAACTGTTGATAAAATTTCTATGGGACTGATCTGTTAATATAAAGATCCCTCGGGTAAGAAAAGAATTTTCCAAATCAGCTTAAAACTGACGGAGTTATGAGGTAACAAACATTAAAAAAAATACAACCGAATTAAGAACCTTCTTCTTTTTTAAGTCAGTTAAAAAGGAAAAAAACCATTTTTATTATATCTATCATAGATAGATATCATTACAAAACCCATTAATTAAGTCCTATCGGGCACCACTTCTCTCCCTAAGGAGAATATTAGCTAGCCACTTACTACTCGTATTACCACGATGGTCACGTACGTCTTAGTGTGCATAATGTAAACTCTGAGGCGAAGGGATTGTTAGTAATACGGACAACCAGTCTCGGAGTAAGCACTCGGTACGTACATATCCATTATCAAATGCTTAGGATGTTGTGCTTTGTCCTCTTAGTTAATACATCTTAGAGATACTCATATAGATACTTACACAGATATATATAATTTTATTTATTTATTTATTTCAGACAACTTGAGTCCATTCTTTGTTGGTAAGTGTACCAAAAAACTATGTATAATACTTAATTGCTAATAAAGATCTAGTCTTCTCGGCAAGAATTCTAACGAGAGGACTATTTAAATTATTTTCAAACATGTTCAGAATACTGTTGCCACCTTGGCGTATTCTATGTATTTAAGAACGAAGCTGTCTTTTTACGATATATGTTAGGATATTAAGGAGTAAAAGGATGTTACAAAGAACTCATTCATTTAAATATTTTTTTCATTCATTTTCATTTAAGAGTTTCCTCTTGTCGGTGCAACTAATTCATGCATCTTCCTCCAGCCAGCTCTATCCCAGGCCATATCCTTTATATCCCTATACGACATGACGCTTAGTGTTTCCTTTATCTGTCCCATGTAGTTAATCCTCGGTCTTCCTCTTCCTCTTTTGCCCTCTATCTTTCCTTCTATTATTCTCTTAAAAAAATCGTCATGTCGTATAAGGTGGCCCAGCATTTTGCCTCAATATTTTTTATACAACTAAAAATGGCAAACAAACTGACGGCATTCCTGATAGAATAGAATAACGGTCGCCTTAATGTATACAGCACTACGAATATCACAGTATATCCGTGGTACCTCAAGTGTAATTTCTCAACTCTGTAATTTCCCTATCAGATTATCTTACCTACAAAAAGTACATATAACTACCTAAATATGAAAAATATGTAATGAAAATTACATTGAAACTGATACACATCCATAGAACCTGAATTTTATTTGTTCCAATTTACCGCAATAATGTAAAAGAAATCATGACTGTGTGCCTATCAGTGGGATTAAAAAATGTCACGCAATGACAAAGTTCTTGTAAGTCATGAGCTAAGTTATTAAACCCATTTACTGTGACAGGTATTAAAGCATACACGCTTCTTTACTTACACTTATTTTCTATTTATTGAAATTTTATTTGAGCTATTTTTCTCTGTTCCCTGTCTAAATAATTTACTTAATTTTACCTGAGTATTATTTCGTGAATTAATATTTTTTTTATAAAGGATGCAACTTAGATACTAAGACAACATTCAATCATGACCTGGCGGTATTTTAACTAATTCGATTAACAAGACGTCGGTAATTGTGAATTTGGATTTGGAAGTCCTTAAATATATAACTTTGTGCATAGTTACTATTTAAATTGTCAACTATGAGCAACTCTCCTTTGATATAAAATACCTACAAACCTAAAAACTGAATGACCGAAACTTTAATATTTCTACGCCAAGAAATAAACGCAACTGTTATGATACGTATAACCACTATATTAGTAAGAACATTTTGGACAAATAATTTATATTAAAATATTCTAGCATTTTATATTTAGCAAAAACTTCCAGATCTATTGTTAATTGTCAAAATTAATAATATTACATCGTACATCGTGTACGTGTTTTTTTTTTCTTTATTAAACAACGTAATTAACGATCTAGTCACTATATCGTTACATTAGATTCTAGCTAATCTAATAAATACAACTAAACATAATATAACGGTACATTTAGTTTCTAAATCGATCTACAGACACAGCATCAATACTTGCTGATCGCTCACAATTTTTTATTAGATAAAACATATATATCAAAAATTAAGATTATTAACATTTGCATATTTAAAGGGGCTCAGTTGAGCCTTATTCACCCCAAAATCGTTTAGTACCCACCCCACGATATAAGCTGAGCTTTTAACGATGTACAAAACATGTCTAGTAGATATGCACCTTTTTTAATGGGCTAGCCCAGAATTTATATAATAATGAATTAATTACGCAACAATAGTATTGCTTTTTCTATAAAGATTTTGGTTATATTAGTCCTTGTTCTCAGGTATTCTAAAACAAAAAATATCTATAAATACAGAATACAACTGCGCCACCTATCAGACGATGGTTGATACTTATTTGATGCGGACCGTCTACAGATTCACAATAAATTATATGATCCTAATCAAATAATATTGGCAACACTGTGAAATATCATTAAAAATAAAAGACAATTCCGTTTCCGTTTAAACGTCAACGCCAAATTTGTCAATTTTTGTTATAATTTACTGATTTTGTTACCGATAGAAAATAAATACGAACGATTAAAATTCTAAAATTTAGTATTTATCGTAGACTACACCTATTTCAAGATGCCACGAGGTAAATTCTTTGTTCACATGTTATAATTTTTTTCTCAATGTCGTCCAATGTTATGGGAATGTGCTTTGTAATACATTATATTTACAATTTATATCATAATCATAGTGACGTGTAAAATACCAAACTATTTATAGTCCAATATTAAATCTTAAAAATTACCAGTACTAAATTATCGATAATTTTACTTTATGTCCCCCGCCCCTATTCATAACCTGTTGAAATAACGTTTGTGTTTGTATTATAGGTAAATACACTAACCACAAAGGACGCAACCGAAAGTTCACCAGTCCAGAAGAGTTAGAAGAACAACGGAAACAAGAAGAACTGAAAAAAAAGTACGACATTTAAATATAATTAAATAAAATGACCAACTGAAAAAATACCCCTTACACTCCAGTCGTAAAATAAATTTTACTACATGAATTATAAATTCTATTTTCAGTATTGTGATAAGAATAATATTTCTTATATAAATGCACCTGTTTCGAACCTTTGTAATAATTGTATGTAATTACTCTACTTGTTACACTAGGAAATGTTTCAAGGTTTTTGTATTGAAAATCTTTCAGATGGAGAAAAGAACATGGAGGTGATAGTTCAAGTGAAGAAGAATCAGCTGAAGAAAAGTCTGGGTCTGGTAGTGAAGAGAGTGACTCAGAGGATGATGTAAGTTTCATTATTAGCATATTAAATATTTTTAATCCCAGTTGTAAAGTAAAAAGTGATTTATAATAGAATTTCAAGACAATTTGTATTTGCAGTTACATAAATGTTAATGAACATATGACTTTTTTTTTTTTTCAATACTTTTAATGTAATGTAAATTGGACTCTGTTCCGAGCTTAGCCTCTCATTTGACCGTTGTGTGTATGAGTCGTAGCTAGTGAAGCCAGCTCAGCTCCACCCAGAAACACAGAAGCTTCCTGGGATCTTCACAGGCCTCATGGAACGACCTCATTGTTCTGAGGATTTCAAAACATTGAAAAACCACAGCTTCACATTCCAGAATTACATGAACAGCTATTTCTTCACTGTTAAAAGAGTCTTGACACAGAGAGCTGTCATTTACCCCATAGATCGAGATGCATTAGTTGGATAGCAGCTAGGGCTACTTCCAGCCATATGTGCAGATGTAAGGGTGTTATGTTGAGAGCCAACCCCTGTTGCTGTTGTAGTTATTTTCATACAGCCACTAACAGAAGAACAAGCCAGTGTCTAGAAACTTTTTAGAAAGCTACATTGAAAACACAATTTTACATTGTGCTGTCGATAATGTTTTTCTTCAAAAATACTTTTATCATCTTTCAATATCATAATATTATATTTGTCCAGAGGCATTAAACCTTTTTGCAAAGTTTAATTACTAATTTCATCTTCTACATAAATAGACTAATTTTTTCTTGTGTTTGTTAAAGTGGATGCAGTAGAAGATAGTGAGCTTGATTGGGTATTTATATTATCAGTTCTGGGCATTTTGCATCAGTAGGTTTAACGTTTTCATCAGTCATTGTATTGTTAAATCTTAGAATAGGAACATTCACACAGACTAGGTTGTACTTCACCTTACAAAAAAAAAAGCAAATTGATAATTCCCTTTTCAGAAGTATTTGGTTTAAAGCATATATTTGCTATTCCATAATTCAAACTGTACATTTTGTTATGATCATATTTGCTTGTCCACACTGTAATAATATCACTTAAAAACTTCTCCAGTTAAGATAAGAACTAATGACCTTAAATGGCTAACAATAATTTTATTTTCAACTTACAGTTCACCCAAACTCAATATACAGGTGATTTGTTTCTTCCAAAATAATAACAGAATCTCAACAATCGAAATGATTTTGTACATAAACATTTCTTATTGTACTTTTATATAAATCCAAAGTATATAAATTTTATTACAATGTTTTTATATTCAAATACAGATATACTAGTAAATATATTTTTTATTATTATAAAAAAATGCTTGATAGCTACCTTCTAGTGTCTACTTCTCTTTATATCAACATTGTTTTACATGATAATTTTAATTTTGTGTTTTTTTTACTGCTTTATGTTAAATTTGTTGAATAGACACAGTTTAATAATTAAAAGTATTATTAACTTATATTACTAACTAAATAATTTTTGTTGTTTTCAGGCACCTGTAAAAGCAAAGGGTGTTTCAGGCCTCATCGAAGTAGAAAATCCTAACCGTGTAGTAAAGAAAAATAAAAAATTATCTAATCTGGATAATTTAGGAGAAGGCGAGAAACCTCAGTTATCAAGGTTAGATCTTTTTAATATTAAAATAATGTATTCAAATATGGCACAATCTATATCTTTTACACAGATGACATTGGTACACATGAAAATGTATGTCTAGTACTCGTGTCAGTAGTATCATAGTAGTGTGTAGCATTTTTTTTGTTTGTATTCTAAGCATGGAGAGGGAATTCACTCCATTCACATAGATCTGCTAAGAAAGGAAAGTAGATTTTGATTTAAAATAAAGTCCGAAGCTCATTTAAATGAGATTTATTTTTACATCTCACTTCTTTTGTTATATGAGAATGCTGGATAGTTGAGAAAAAAAGTAATGAAAAGACACCTACTTATGCTTACACATTATCCATACTAATTTCTGCCTACATATAGGCAATGTATATCATTTCATATCATATATATCATATCATTTCATATCAGAATATCATTTCATATATATAATTTCTATATTCAATATTCCCTGTAACAAAAAAAGATAGTTGTGTGAGCACAGATAATATAATCCAATATATGAGAGAGGGCAACACCCTTTGTTGTCCAGAGTTTACAAAAACTTACAAGTTCATCTTACTATATTATTCCTTATATACATACTATATGCACATTTATATTTTTTTCATTTATTTAAAAAAAGTTTCAAAGCGGTTTTTATGTCTTTTCATGTAAAGCTTCTTTATTTGATTTTATATGTATTTCTGTTTAGAGTTTATCTAATTGGACTAAGCATATTATAACTATATCAACAGACGTGAGCGTGAAGAAATAGAACGTCAGCGGGCCGCTGCTGCGTATCAGAAAGCACACGCGGAAGGCAAAACAGAGCAGGCGCGAGCAGACTTGGCGCGATTAGCTATCATCCGACAACAACGGGAAGAAGCCGCGAAGCGTCGAGAAGCCGAGAAAAAAGCCAAGGAGGAAACTCCTAAAAAACGGTTTGTATTTATAAATATTTTTTCTAGTTTCATTGTAACGGATATTTAACCTCCCTATTGGGGGCACTCATGCCCAAAACTCACAAAGCGTTTATTTTTAGCAAATACTAACTTTTTGTCTACCTCTAGATTGCATATGTAGATAAAACATACGCCAATTAGACCTTTAAGAACACAACAGTGGAAACTGCATTCCATTTAGTTCAGCAGTTTTTTGTGATGCGGAAATAAATATACTATTATTAAGACCCTTTACATAATTTTTTTCTAAAATATCTCTCAATGACAGATATCGTCATATTCGGACTTTTAATTCGATGCAGTTCCAGTGTTGCAGGTTATTGCTGTATTATTATTTTTTTATTTATAGGCATAAATAAAAAAAATATCGAAATAGGTAGATTTTTTCTTATTTTGTTTTTGTTGTAATAAAATAGTAATAGTTATATATTACTTATTGAATTATAACTTAATATGTTTACGCTAGTAAAAAATATTGGTTTTTAAATAAATGAAGCCATCACTACTAAGTGTGGTAACATTATTTTTGAAAGTGACATTAGCTTATGTCAGTTTACTGTATCAAATTAAAAGTCTGACAATCGTTACCATTTTATTCATCATAACCTTTAACTGTACTGCTGAACATAAGCTTCCCCGTGGAGAGTTTTACCAGTAATTGCCACGCTTGGCAGGCGGATTGGCAACTGCAGTCAGACTTAGAGACACTCACGGGAAAGGAAGGCGTGGACTATTCTCTGCTGAGACCACACGACCCAACAATTTTATTAAATAAGTAAAATTCTTAATAATTAATTTATCTTTATTTGCAGGTAAACAATGTCCTGTTAATAGACTGCAAGCATATTGTTTTTGCTGTTAACATGCTCATACTCAGGCTAGGTCAAGCTTTCAAAATCACAGTTAGAATTAAGAATTCTCGTTTTCTTTAAATTCATGCATAAGGAATTGTCAGTTGATATTGTCGCATAATAAACTTAATAAATATTTAAAATAAAATCAGTTTTGAAATGCTTTCCTGGCGGTGATTATACATGTGTGAAATTCGATGTAAAAGTTTTTTTTTTTTTATTTTAAATCTTTTTTCGTTCAATCAAATACATGCATTAAACTGTCTTAATGGTATCGACTTATATTTTAAAAGATTGCAATTTATATTGTATGTTTTAAATAATCAACATAAATTTAGATAGAAGGTTAAATTGCCATAACTTGAAGATTATTGAATTCTGAGTGGTTGAATGTTCTAAAATGGTATTAAAGTAAGTATTCTTTTGCATTGAAGTGAGCGAGTAACAGAGAGTCAATTTGTTTAAAAAGTAGACTTTTATATATTCTTTTTAATCATATGTAGACAATTAATTAAAATGCACGAGATTCTGTTATAGATTAATCATCTGGGGGAATTGTACTATAATTCTCACGATCTAACATTTACCGATAATTTGCCATAGGTAGTAACCAAAAATTTTATAAATATCTCTGGTTTATTTTTTTAATAATAATTCACTTATCTGTGGCAATTGTCAATGTGTACATGTGAATTTAATTGATTTTTTTAATGTCAACATCTTTGTTTTATTATTAACACTTATTTCTCATAATTAGAAAGTTCATTTATATGTTGTAATGAAATTAAATAATTATACTATATATATAATATAAGTATTTATTTAACAAATATAAAAAGGGTATATTGAATTTATATTTTCAATTCCACCAGAATGTACCTAAGTAAATGAATTTTATGTATGTATTTTGCTTAGGTCTAATTGTTAGATAGTCTCACTAGGCAATTTTTATATGCAAACATGTATCTGTAAAAATAAAAGTTGAAAATGATATTTTATTTTATTCATCTCATTAATTTAATTTTAATTATGCATATCCTGTAATTATATTTGTATATATGTATGTGTATTACTACTTCTACGTCGATAATCTTCCGAAAACTTCATCCGAACTTTTGGTAATAACACATGCTGCTAAGTAACAGTGAAGGGTGATCAATGAAACGAGGGCCCATTTTTAGCAAATAAACAGTAGTTTTTTTTTTTTTATAAAATGTAATGGATTGGTAAGCCTGCCTGCGCTAACGGTATACGCTGGCGAGATACCAGTGAGGACTGATAAGTGAGAATGAAAAAGCAAGTTAGCTCATCGTTATGAATATACCAGAATTTCAACACGATGATTTCCAGCGGAGACCGTGTGGAGAACGACCTGACAGGATATATTGCTAGCAATGGTACTGGTAGCACGCTCAGTTCTGAGTTGTGGTGTGACAATTCAACAAAATGGTATTGTGATAATTATTGGTGAATATTGTGCTAAATAATGACGTGGAAATTTTCACGCACGACTTAACTTTTTGACCTGACAAATTTAAATGAGTAGTTAATTTATTAAAAAAAAATATTAATTTACTTTTTAATTATTGAAATATGATTAGGTTCCAACAAAAAATAATACTTTTATTTTAATATAATCCAAAGTATAATTCCTAATCATTTCGATACAACTCTGTCACTCCAAAATTTTAAAGATTATACAAGATGATAATAATACGCCCTATTCTGATATCTTCGTCATAAACCAAGTTCGCCTTATTTTAGGCATCCCTGAAATGGGGAAAATAATATAGAACATAGAAAAATTTTAAACCCCTGGTCTGTAGGTAGGTTACCTATATTAAAATCATAAATTCTGTGCTCTTTAGTCGCTGTCAACGAACAAAATTTTGTGTCGTGCATAAGGCGAATGTGCCGGGTGATGACCTATAGTATTATAATATAATAGTGTAATATTTGCAAAATTATTTTCCGTGGATATAGTTGATTTAAAAAAAACACTAATAACAAAGAACAAACACATAGTCATAAATCTCGTTCATTTGTTTTTTTTGTTTCTATTTCTCTAAAAGTATGAGGTTTTTAGTTCTCAAACATTTTTTTTATTCATTTTCGTCAGATTAATATATTTTTTTATATATTTAATATTAATATTTTTTTTTTCATGGTTAAAAACTTTAGTTCTCAACCAATAAATAACCTTCAAGAGAAAAAAACCCTTAAGAATTTTGAGGAAGTCTATTTAGTACCTACAAAATCTGGTACTTATAGACTTCCTCAAGATGTGTGTGATAATAATGTACAGATATATATATATATATATTTTTAAAGTATTATATTAGTTCGATTTCCATCGTTAGTAGGTATTGTTTGTTATTTTACGAATTCATTTGGTACTCTTCATTTGCATCCATCGAATAATTGCTTTTGCTGAATTGGGACTGTGTATTGGTTGACATATAGTAATAGTTAACATATATATTGTGGTTATCTTATTGATATTAATCCATTTTGTTTTACTGTACTGTTATGAACTCCACTACTATTTTACATAACGGCATACAATATAATTGAATATATAAATTAATTACCTAATGTTCAATGAATTTTATTCATAAGATGCGACGTCGAGGTTAAGGTTGTGCTACGATAGTCTCCACAAATTCTCACTTAGCCGTTTTTATCATATAATCATTGCTTATTTGACAGTTTTTATGTTATGATCAACTTCAGTTAATATTCCTATATTCATGAGGCAGTTCAATTTTGTTTCCTTATTCTTCATCATCGAGAACTTTATAGCTCACGGAGAAAGACATTAAATTTACTCCATAACATCTTTGTACTGAGCGTTTAATGTACATTTACAATTTACGGTCATCATATTTTAAATATTGATACTTTGAATTGCTATGGTTCATTTATTGCATATATTTATGCATTCCTTAGTTTCTTCAGTCGTAAGTATAATCTGCTGATCTTCATATAACAGCTGTTAAAATATTATTTGTACTTAACTGCAATCTCTGCAAATGTTATGTTTAGCTGAATATGAATGTATCTAATCAATGTTTCTCCAATTTTGTAAAATGGCGACATTCATCAGGGCTTATATGTTTTTAATTATGACGATCACATTTATTTGGTTTAACCTTGTAAGCAAGGGGGAAGGGATTGTTAATAATGGAGAGGGTAGTCCTCGTTGCTATCAATATATCCTATCAGATCAACCTCCATGCGGTTCCTCTCGAAAACTCATAATTTATCGTTGAATTCGTCACGGTGGGCTAACTGACCTAGTTCTTTATCATTACTCATCCTTTTTCATCCTCACTGGTCCCCCGCCAGTGTATACCGATAGCGTAGGCTGGACTACCATTTCATTACCATCCATTAAAAAAATATCGTAAGCACTACTTGCCCTAATTTCCTCACTCTGAGCTAGCTCATGTGATTAGTCGACTACAAACATTTAAATAAAGGTTATTTAGTGATACCATTACAATGACTTCCTATGAGGTTCAGCTATTTTTGCTTTAGGTCGATAAAAAATCAATAAAGGATATTGCTAAGCGAGCTTATAGTTGCCGCTCTAATAATGTCTCGTTATAGACGTAGTTGTTACTTAACCCCTTTAATCTATTTGCATAGCGCTCCATTAATTCACTGTCCTGTCCATACAATTCCAGAACTCGGAGAATGCACGGTACCGGGTTCTGTTTGTGCGATACAGGTCCAATAGTTCTAATTTGAAAATATCGTATCTGATCCAAAATTAGGTACAAATAATTTTTTTTATTTGACGAAAGACTTCCAGTGGTAATCCTATAAGCAAGTCTTTTTAACGTCTATTTTTGTCTTCATTCAAAATTTGGTACTTGATTTTGTGGTTGAAGGGTTAAATTTATCGCATTTGTAATTACTGAATTATTATTATCATTCGGTGATTAATTACCGATAAATTTATAAATTTGTTGATACTTGATGTAATGGAAACGGGTGTATAAGGCGTACACACCCATCCAGGACTGGCCACGTACATGTTACGTTGGTGTTGCAAATAGTTATATTATATGCGTTAAGCGTTCAAAGCGTCAGGCATTGCAACTACAGTAACTGTTGAAATTATTCTGTGTCCATTTTATTTACTTTGATCGCCACATTATAATAAAAATTAAATATTTTTGACAACGAAATTATGGTCGCTATGTTAGTCTTTGATAGATACGCCATTTAATAAGTGCTTTAGTGTGGTCTTACATCTAAAAAAAAAAACAGGTTTCTTGACATTATTTTTTATCGACCAAGTTAATAAAACTACTGCAAATATACTAGTCAAATATATGATTTTTTATCCATAAACTTTAGGATCTGTCAAGTGCTTGTGTCTTAGGCATATATCAATAAGGGTTTACTACCTTTGCATTATTTGTCTATGATATCATTTATCTAATAACATGAAACGTCTTACGAAAATATTCTGGTATGGAACACATTCCATAACCTGAGCATACGCTAGAAAAAACTTAAGTCACTTGTAATTTGTAATCTATTTTCAATTTTACAATTTTTATAAAATAAATATAATATATCTAACTAAATATATTATAATTTATTTTGTAAAAGTTAGGAACCCTAATTGCATTAAAAATTGGCGTTCATTCAACCATAAATGTTGACGGCAAGATAGCGGTAAGCATGATAACATCTCAGTTACTGCGTTTACCGACGTCAACCTACGTCCAGCGGCTATCTACCCCTCCTACCCTTATCAGTCACCAATTTCGCTTCACCCTTGTAAGGACGAAGGTATAATAAAATTTCGAAGCGTAGGTACTTATTTTAGTTCGAATATTTCCATAGAAAAATTATGACGATCTGGAACCCAGGAAGAATTAGTTCTTCTAAAAATTTATATATGTATTTTATATTTAATTAACAAAATAAAATTATTTCATAATAATAAAAACTATCCTACCTAAATATTATTGCTCCATAAAAAAAATTTTACTCATGATAAAATTGCGTACGTATAGACAACATCGCTTGACGATGAGATGTTTTATCGTTACGATTAAAGTATTTTAATTAACCAGACATAATCATATATCCAAATGCAGATATTTTTGCTCCATAACAAACAAGATATTGCTCCAACAAAACATAAAAAGCAAAATTGATATAAAAGCAACACGATAACGAAAAAATTCAAAATCTGATGATGAGCAATATAACTAGTTTGGCCATAAGTACTGTTACATAAAAGCTTTTTTTTTTTTACTTTTTAATTATTTTGAAGTTGGAAAACGTTTATTATTTTAAAAACTTCTTTTAATTTCACACCACTCACATATTTTTTCGTGTTCATTATCAAATTACAATATAGAATGGGGTGTTAAAGAAATTAGGATTTTAGAACTACAAAGGTTGTTAATGCTGTTAAAGCCAGAAAAAAAAAATCACGATTGAAGAATACCTACTACAATAAGCAAAATGATAAAGCGTACACTCACAGTTCTAAAGAAGCTGTTCAAGTAGTCAGAAATATACAACGTTGTCATCATCCTGCGTCAGTGATGGTTTGGTGGGGCGTGTCTTATTAAGGAGTCACAAAACTACATTTGTGTGAAAAAAGAGTGAAAACTTCAGCCAGAGTGTATCAAGATACAGTCTTGGATCCTGTTATAAAACCTCTCAGCAATACACTTTTTAAAAATATACCACGGACTTTCCAGCAGGACTCTGCACCTGGTCACAATTCACGTACTACCCAAGCCTGGCTTGAAACCAACGTTCCGGATTTTATAAGAGCTGAAGACTGGCACCCGTCTAGCCTAGACCTCAACCCTTTAGACTTCAAATTATGGTTAAATTTAGAGGGTATGGCCTGCTCTAAACGACACGGTGACATTAAGTCTCTTAAAAAACTTTTAAGCAAGCAGTGGCGAAATTTCCCTTGGAAACAGTGCATTACTCCATAGATTCAAGGCC